GTGCAGCTTTATTTGGGCTGGACTGAGATGCCTTGACAGCGGAATTTGCCCTTTAGTAAGTGAAGTTCGTGGGTGTTCTTGAATGTACAGCGCAAAACGTTTTCTTATCCATTTTTTCATTAAATTTGTGCTGTAGTCCTATCTGCTTCATTACCGGTTTTGCTTGTCAGTTGCCCTACAAGGTTCCATCACGTTGCACAATGGAATGGTGGGTGACAGCACTGTCAAAAGTGCTTGCTTTTTGGCTATGCACTTCCCGGAGGTTATTACAGAAGGCAGTTCATTAACTTAAGAATCTTTTGAATCCCAATTCTCGACTCGTTCACAAATGGATAATTTGCTGGAGCAGTACGACAATAACTTTGCACCAAAAGCAATCATTTTTTTAAGTGAGAAGGAGAAAAAGCGCAGCAGAATTAGTAGTTTTGTTGATCATTTGCAACCAATTGAAGCTGAGATGAAGGAATAAATTTATACTTTTCATGTCTGCTCCGTAGCTTGATTATTTCGGACATTTTGTGCCAATTCTTTCTTCCCATGTTTGATTCAAAACCTCACTACCCTACGTCTCATCTCTACTACCAAAGCACTCGAAAATGCTCAACTTTCTATCCTCCTCCTCTCGTAAAGGCGCGCACCATGTTCCACGCAAGTCAGGAGTCTGCTCAAATGGCGCGGAATCAAGTGACTCACCTTTCCGAGGAAGTGGCCGCACTCCAGATTCAATTGAATGCTGTCAATACTGCTTTGAAAGCAGCTGTGGCCGATGCTGCCTCTTCTGTCACGTGCGCTACTACCACCCTTCATCGCATTCCCGCACCCCTTGGCTCTGTCGGTGGGGCTAGAAATCTTAGAAGTCGACTTGCTCGGAAATCCGCCGCTGGTGAGACGGAGCACCAAATGCCTGTCGAGGTATTGAATTTTTCGCGTATTCCCGTTTCCGAATTCTTAGCATTGAAAGGTGTTCAGTCACTTATCTTTGGTTTATGTGTTTTGCCATTCTTTAGCTCATGAAATGTTATAATTTTCGCTGCCGTCATTGATAGAAAGGTTGGGAACTGATGAAGTGTAAGAGGGGTATGAACTCAGACAGAGTAAGCTACGTAATTAAACCTCTGCGCAACTGCAGCAGTGTTTGTGTTACCTACCGGACTTCATTCATCAACTCTGCGTACTTACACGAACGTTTGCTGACTCACTTGGTCTCTCTGTCTCTCTCTGTGTGTGCGACAAATCTCACATTCGAGATTAAAACATAGTTTAAAACTTTGTCCACAAGTCTAGACTAAAATCAGCAATTCTCCTTTATAGTCTCCTTCACTCATCAAATCATCCTCATATTTCTACTCCAAAGGAAGTCTTTCTATCCTAGTCTCGTAACTAAATGTTGCTTAACTTTCCCTTTAAGCCAATGACAAGTGAAGTCGAATCCGAAGTTGATCATCTGCCACCTTTGGAAAATGCACGTTCTCCCACACGTCTACATCGAGTCTCTAGTCTCTCCTCACCCCGTCGACCCCTGCTCATACCCTCTGCGTCCATTGGCGGTCTTCCTTTCCTTCCCTCACCATTGCCAATTAATTTCTGCTTCTCAGGTCATCTGGATGTACCTGGAAAACCAGGCCGACGAAAGAAATTGGTGTGGGACCAAAGATTTGCCAAGGTACGCTGAAAGTAATGGGTAGTTTGAGCACCGACAGCATGAGGTTCGTCCTACTTTTCCTGTAGGCACTCTCCGGTATCAGTTGTCAAAACCAAACATGTGAAGTGAAATGAGCCTCGAGATAGGTGCAATGACTGTTTGATGTTATTATTACCATGAATGATCGCTGCATCGGTCTTTTAAGTTGAGAAGTGTGCTTACAATCGACAGTCAAAGACAAAGTGATGTCTTGAAATACGATCAGTTACTCGCCAACATCACATTCTATCTCGGTTACCTTCGACCTTATTCGGGCCTACCTGGTTTAAAGAATACTTGACGAAGGAAAGGTTGTCATAGAAACCAGGTCCTGGCGATAAATTACTAGAAGTAAAGGGAGACCAGGATCAACCTTCAGTAAATGTTTAGCCGAAGGAACCGTGAAGTGATCCCCTCATGCCATCATGTATACATGATGGATGAAAAGTCAGGGTGAATGGGTATGCATCTTGTTTCCACCCACACCATCTCATCTCTTTCACTTGGATCATGCAAGCGAGTCGTGAACTTTAGGTTGTTTACAGGCACCCCAACCGATTGATGCTTAGAAATGTATTTTGTTTTCCAAAGTCAAAGTTGGTGCAATTGAACAATCCATTCTATGGGTTCCACTTTCCATGGTCCTACCCGCTATGGGATGAAAATGCTATTCTCATTCTTTTATGCAAATGCAATATCTCATAGTCCATACTAAAGCAAAATCCATCCCCAAGAATGTTTGGCTCTGCCCTGGTGATGTTTACCGACTTTGCTTAAAACCAACCACATGTAAAGTAGAACATTTGGGAAATCACCTTCCTGTAAGGAGAGGGCCAAGTTTTCCCCTAGAAACAAATCACGTAGATGGGGCAATTTGGAACCAGGCTGTGTCGTTTGGACAGAAGTGCGCACGCCATCAAAGTTGATCACTCTGACAAGTGAATTAAATTAAGCGAGGCTTTTTGCAAGGACTTACGTAAAGTTGTTAAAATTTATTGTCTCTTCTTTTCCTCTTTTCAGTTCTATGCCTATTTCTGCGTACAGCATGGGTGAGCCTCTAGAACGAAAATTCAGTAATGTACATTAACAATCTTCTTCATTTCCCTTCCCCTCCCGCCCTTTTCTAATTTCCAATGCGCGCTTTTGCATTGCACCCTAACCCCCACTCCATTTATTCGGTCCCCCGAACCTCGGTGATTGTTATCAAGTAGGACTGATTAGGATGGGATAGGAATGGAAAACTAATCCATCAGCATTTATGGCCACCTTTTCTCCTTTCCTGTTTAGTTAACTTTTAGTCGCTTCCTGGTGTGGGACACCATAAAATCCTCCGACAGTGCTCAATCATCCGCCCCACTTGATAGCCTTGCCTCACCGTTGGAGACTGCTGCCTTGGGTTCCACTGTGTCCGCTACCTCTGGCCGCAAAGCCTCGCGTCCTGGACCTAACCTCCTGTTGGACCTTCCACTGAATGCTATTCTCCATGTGCGTAGTGTCACCTCGTGTGATGTGCTTCATGCGCCGGCGGAGGATCTGCCAAGGATATTCCAGATCATCTTCGACCAATGTGAGGCTGGTGGTGCAAGTAGTGGGGGGACGAGGCAGACCTCAGAGGTCCGTGTCTCAAGTCCCGATTCGAGTCCACATTGTCCTACGTCGCCGCCACCGAAATCATCTCCGTCTACTGGACTACTGGGTTGGCTTATTTGTTCTGTGTTGCTGATGGGATATTCTGTATTGTTGATAGCCTATCTTTTAGGATTTTAACTGCCGAAGTGACTGCTTTGATAAGGGGAATAGAAGAATGTTTGATGCGCGGGATCAGATGGTCTGTGGACTTAATACTTGTATGCTTAGTAAATTGTGTGCTGAGTTGACACTCGATCAGGTGGCACTCAAA